GGGGAGCCGGGGGAGGGGGGGGGAGCCACAGGCAGGGGAGGGAGCCACGGGAAGGGGAGAGTCCTACTCACCAGGCTATAATGCATCCTTTCTGCTGGAGAGATGGCTTTATTTTAAAGATTTTTTTTATCTGTTTGAACTTTTGCCTCTAAAAGCTTTCTTAACAGACTAAGCTTTACCAGAGCAATTACACTGAATGGCAAATTGCTCTCAGGGTGGAGGTCTGATTCCTGCATGCTGAGGTTCAGAATCAGGAAAGCCTGAGAGTGATGGGCGAGTTGTCTTTGTTTGGGGTCACGCCGGTGTGTGCCGTCAAATATTTGAACAATAAGCTGAAAAGGGTCCATTCAACTGTCTGCATCTACTTCCGAGGCCACTGAGAGCAGCAGGCAGCATCATGCCTACCTGGAGTAGCTGCTCAAGGCAGGGAGGCCTCCGAGGCTCTGAGCTCTGAACATAGTGGTAGGCACATAAAATCCCATTGAAATCCCATTGATGCATTCCCTTCCTCTGTGGACTGGAGCAGAGGCCACTCACCAGTGTCAAAGGTGTGACCAAGCATTGGAGGATCTAGGGAGTCTTGAGGAATGTGCTCTGAGTCACACAGCCTTGGGCATCTGTTCTGGTTAGTTAGACCCCAGCATCTGACAAGAGCAGGGGTCATCCGGGAAGAGGGGACCTCCACTGAGGAAAAATGCCTGCACCACATTGGCCTGTAACAAGTCTCAAGAGTATTTTCTCCATTCACAATGGATGTCGGGGAACACAGCCTAGGTGTTGGCATAAAATGGAAGCCTGGTGAGCTTTGATGAGCAAGCCAATCGCAGTGTTCCTCTGTGATCCCTGCTCCATTTGCTCCTGCCTGGTGTTTCTGACTCTTCCTCCATGATGGCCTGTAAACTGTAAGAGGAAATAAACTCCTTCTTCTTCCCCAAGTTGCTTCTGGCCTTGCTGTTTCCTCACGGCAATGAAGAGCAAACTAGGACTGCATCCCTCTGGCCAGAGTAATAGCCCATACCACCTTTTGTATGAGGTTGTTTGGAAGACTTGTCTGTTTTTGTAATTGTTAACTATGACAGGGCACCGGGGTTCTTTGCACTCTGGCAAACACTGAAGAGTCTGTGCAGGTCTGTCTGTGGAGTTGGGAGAGGTACCAGTGAATGAGATGCCGTGTCTAAGCCTGCTTAGCAAACCCCTCCTCCGTTGGGCACTTAATGGGGTTACTCTGTGGTAGAAACGTGGTCAAGCTGGTCCACCTCATATTCCACGAGGATTCCGAAGGGTCATCTTGCTGTGCACTGGGATACCTTGTAACAACATGCTTTTTTTGTCTTTTACAGATAACAGACTGTCAGAGGTGGATGACCCAGTGTACGATGAGGTAAGATGACAGCATATTGACCCCAAATCATGGTATCGTCAACCATCTCTATTTATTGTCAATCATCTCTATGTGTATGAAATGTAGTTTCCTAACTGCTGGGAGGGTACAGGGAAAAACCTCATAATCCCCAAATTGAGGAAAAATTCAGAGTGCACACACAATTGTATAGACCTAGGTATGGGATGTCATGTTTTCAGATTATAAATGAATATTTAGCTATTATAGAGAGACATGAAAATATGGTGAATTCAAATAAGGGAATTGGTATTCTCAGGATTACTCTGCCATAAGAACATCACAGGCCCATTTCACAGACCTGCACACAGTCTCTGAAGCTTCCTATGTACCTGGTGCTGCCCCAACTTCCCTGTGCAATGTCCTGTGCAGCTACATGGTTACAGGGCCCTCCATCGCTGAGGTGGTCTAGGATGGCTCTGTGAAAGGGCTTAGCCAGCCAGCACCTACCTAGTGTGTGTCAGCAATATCGATAACTTTATTAGATATGGGGGCTTCTTGCTTGAGTACCTATGGTCTCTAATGTAAGTCTTAAGGAAGCAGAAGATCTGCCCGGAGCTCAGTGATGTCATGTGGTTTTATAAAACTGATTATGTCCTCTTGGTTGCTTCCGGATGGGTGTCTGATGGATGACAGTAGGGAACAGCAGCAAACTGAAATCACAGCCACAGTGGGACTTCCGTCTGAATGGCCATGGAGAAACTGGGTCAGGAAACAGTTTCTGGATATGAAGAGTGGAATGCATGCCACACAGTCCCCATAATCTTCAAAGGCATGGTCTCAGAATTCAGGTCAGAGGCCCCCTGGACCTGAACTTGGTGAAGCCATTGGACCCTGCTCCTGGCCTCCTTGCCTCTCCCATGGCCTTACCTTGCACTCATAAGTTGAGTTTTGACTGGCTCTGTTCCTTGTGCTGTGTTGACATGTTTCTCCATTTCCTGGAGCATGTTTTCAGAAGGAGCCTGTGAGTGTTGAGTGCTCTGAGCTCTCTTCAGTGATACCTTTCCCTTGTATGCAGCTCCATCTGAGACGTCATCACCCTGTTTTTCTTTTTCTTCTTTTTTTTTTGTTCTTGTTTTTCAAGACAGGGTTTCTCTGTGGCTTTGGAGGCTGTCCTGGAACTAGCTCTTGTAGACCAGGCTGGTCTCGAACTCACAGAGATCCACCTGCTTCTGCTTCCTGAGTGCTGGGATTAAAGGCATTCACCACCACTGACCAGCCACCCCATTTTTCAAAAGCTCCTGCTGGGTTGGTCACTAACTGCCATGTTTTGTTGTTGCAAATCAGAATTGGAGTGGACACCTTCATCAGACAATTGCATTCACCTATGCAAAAGGAAGACTCACAAATTCTAGCCAAGAGGGAGTGAGCCCCAGCACAGTTAACTGTTCCTTAAAATGTGTGTTTGGTGGAGTAAGCTTCGAAAGAAACTGAACCCTAGATCCTGTTTAGTGTAGCATCAGAAATAGAATTTCACCGTTAAAACCACTCCATTGAGATGGTAAGAAGATAGGCTTGTGCACACACTGCGGGTCACATCTTGGAGGCCCTGACCTTGACCTCATGGAGGCCTGTGACACAGGTTAGAGCAGATTTCAAAATCTGGAACTGCGATCATTTGATGTCCGGCTTCTGTAAGGCTGAGGATGTGAAGCAGAGGCCAGAGCATGGGTGGGGAAATGATGAAATGGGTTGTGCACAGAGCAAATTAGTGCTGTAGCCATGTGATGTAATCATAGCCATTCATAGCTATGTGATGTAATCGATCACAGCACCCTTCTGGCAGATGCCAGTGGGTGTCCAAGGAACCCAGTATTAAGAAAGTAAGGTCAGCCAGGCATTGGTCACACACGCCTTTAATCCCAGTACTTGGGAGGCAGAGGCAGGTGGATTTCTGTGAGTTCCAGGCCAGTCTGCTCTATAGAGTGAGTTCCGGGACAGCTAGAGCAACACAGAGAAACCCTGTCTTGAAAAACAAACAACAACAAAAATAGAAAGAAGGAGATATCAAAAGTAAGAAAACGTGAGGGTTCAGGCTGAGGAAGTGTCATCCTTACCAGGACCAGAGTGCCACTGGGTCATAAGCACATGTCCCCACAATGGGCTCAATCCAAGGTTAGCTTCTGCCTCAGTTTCCCCATCTAGGAGATGGGCATTACTGAGGATTCCTGACTCCTGGAGTTTGTTGAAAGACTGAACTTATACATAGAAAGTAATCCTACAACGTCTTTGTACATAGGAGAGCTCAACAGAACCATGATGAATATCTGTGGTAGTTAATAGGTGTTCGTCGCTCCTCAAGGGATTCTTCTGGAAGGTGTGTGAGAGTGGGAGGGAGGAGTAGGAGGGAGCACCATGGCGTGATCAACACCTTGGCTGATGTCTCCTCTAGATAAGGTTCTGCACACGGACTCTGCCCTCCTCTCCCATCAGAATGGCCGGTTGTCATCCCACCATGGGGCTATATTTTCCCAAAGTACATATTGACGGGTACCTTCGCACATGGCAGCCTCTCATGGATGTTTCTTCTTCGCCAGGTCAGCCGTCTGAGTGTCCAGCTGGGGGACCTCCTGAAAGACCACGGGTCACCCCTATTACCCGAAGCTCCCCATCCAGAAAAGTCCTCCAGGGCAGAGATCAAGAAGTCAGAGCAGCCCGAGGAGGTCTTGTCCTCAGAGGAGGACACTGCTGGGGTGGAGCACGTGAGGAGCCGGACTTACTCCAAAGACCTGTTGGGGAAGAAGCCGGACTCAGAGCCCCAGGCTCCGAGGCTTGAGGACCAATTCCAAAACCGAGCCCCAGAGATGTGGGAGGAGGAGCAGAGCCCCAAGTTAGGAGCACAGGGACCCCCTAGTGGAGGCCTTCAGCTGGAAGTCCAGCCTTCTGAGAAGGAACAGCAAGGATACATCCTCACCGGAAATGAGTGAGTAGAGGGTCTGCCTTCTCTTTCCTGGGACCCCGAGACACTGGGGAGCAGCAGTGCCTCACCGAAGAGAGGAAATGGGTCTAGGTGTGTGTGTGTGGGAGGGCTGCCCATCCAGGAGTGACCTTCTGGGCTTTTAAACTTAGTGTCAGCTTCAGGGGACCATGATCCGAAGCCAGGAAACACAGCAAGCTCTGCAAAGCCCTGCCTGCTTCTCTCGACTATCCTGTCCTCTGCAGGTAGGGACTCCCTGCTGGACAGACGAATCTGCAGAGGACTGCCATGGGTAGGGTAGCAAGATCTGGCCCAGGTTGTTCTCTCCAAGGAACACCCACACTCAGGGACAAGGGACAGCAGGCACAGAGCAGGACTTAATGTCCTCAAAGCATAGCTCTGTACCAGCTCCTCACTTGTCGGAACTCTTAGAATAACGTTCCCTGTTTCCCAACAAATCCTCCAAAGAGACCATTTAGAGGGAAAGTATTCTTCATGGTGACAGGGCACTGTGCTTTCTTTTTGATCTGAATTTAATAAGAGAAAGAACTCAAGCACTAAGTGCCAGAGAGTCAGCAGTGGTCAGCCTTGTTAATGAGCCTGATGCTCGATGTCACACCTCATGAGAAGACAGCATTTCTTCATGTCATGGGGCAGTGTTTCAAAGGGAGGAAGGTGTGTGACTGTGTAAGCTTGCGCACACACGTATGTGTGAGCACACATGCATAGAGATACATAGACACAGGTAAGAGTGCTCATCTGAGCATACACATCTGCGTATAGGTATTCGTGCACATGTGTGCAAATGTATGTGCACAGGTGTGAAGGCTCAGGCATTCCTTTTTTCACCATGGAGCCCACCACTCTTCATGCTGACTGCTCCGTGGGAAAAGCTCAAAGCAGGCCCCAGCTCTCCTGAGAAGTGGCACAGTGGAACCTGTGTGGTTTTCACTGTCCATGTATTGCTGCTGGAAACATTAAACTTCCTTGGTGGGAGTCAACCGCTAATTGACAGACAAGGTTTATTTTAAGCTCAAAACAGACTGTTACTAAAAACAAGACTATCCTCAGCCATTGCCAAGCCGCCCTCTCATGACTGTGGCTGAGTGGTAGCAGCTGCAACTTCAGGAACCACCCTGCCCCACATTCTCTGCTTTTCTCTGCTTCTTCCTTTCTCTAGAACAGAGTTCCCCTTCTTCACCCTTGTCTGTCCTCTCGCTCTCTGATGGGTGCTGGGGTGTCCACCTCCTCCCATATAGAGGATACATAGGGTACTTAGAACATGCCCCACAGGGGATGTGGGACACAGCTCTACACTTTGGAAACCACCATAGGTTGCTCACCATGTAAACTATTCAACAGGAAGCCACTCATCGACTCTAACACCCCATGTATGGATGATGTCCACTTCCCTGGAAACCACTGCCAAACACACACACACACACACACACACACACACACACACACACACACACAATGTTTCTGTGTGTAGGATTGTGTGCTATTTGGTACCTTGAGCATTATATTTGTATTGTATACTAGATATCGTATGCCTCGCGTTCTGTGTGTGCATAGTATGTTGTGTGACTTGTGTGTATCAAGTAGGGTGTCATGTGACGTGGATATTGTGATATATGTGTGATATGTTGTGAGCCTTGTGGTCTGTATGTGTAATGTGGGGCCTCATATGTTATCCACGTGTTCAACACTGTATGTTGTGCACCGTGAGGACACGTCATTATCCTTTCTTAGCATCTCCCCTTACATCAGAACACCAGTGTCCTCAGGGTTGAACTCTCTGACGTCAGGTAGCGTGTCCCGTGTGCAAGGACCAAAGGCCCTTCAGCCAACACACTGCCCTGACCTCAGCTGCACCACAGGTAACAGACAGGCATCTTTTTGAAAAATTGTCACTTTAGGCTCTTCCATATGGCAACCAGTGGTTCCCCCAAGGAAAAACGTGATTGGTGCAGTGGTCTCTCCACCTTTCGGATGGCATGTTCTACTGATGGCCCAACATCAAAGCCATCCTCAGAATGAAGAGTTAGGCTGGAAGGGACATAGTTTCCATGAAGCCTTAGCCCTCTGTTGAGAGGGGGGCCTGCCAGATCAGGTCATTTTCTCTACTGGCGGCCTTTGTCCAGGAGAAAATGCAGCATTGTTACACTGTGGTTTTTGTGTTGGAACCTTCCTTGTCCTCATTCCTTCGCCACACCTTTGAGGCCAGTCAGGACAGTTCCCACTATACACAGGAGCCGCAGAAAGACCATTTTGCCTCTGGCTGACTGTCCTGCCATGCCTTGTCTTTGGTGGGTTCGGGTGCTGGCAAGGATCCTGCAGGTCCTGTTGCCAGCACTGGCCCTGGAGATGGTACTTAACCTCACTACTTCTGATGCTCCCTTGTGAGTTGTTACATAGGGTCTGAAGGAGAGGCAGTATCTGTAGTCTCTCCAGATGGTGCTAAGATTATGTTGTTCTGGGCCTCAGGAGGGGTTGGCAGGTGGAAACTAGTGTGGGGCTGACGAGTGAATTACTTCCCCAAGGAAGAGGAAATCACCTGCTAAATTTGGCAACTGTGTATCGATGCCCCCATCCCCAACCCAGCCACATAGCCATACCTACCTGGAAAAAGACCATGAAACCAGTACACTGCTTTGGAAGGGATACTTGTGGCTAGGTGAACAGGGCAGCTAGAAGGAGAGAAGGTGAGTGTCTTAGTTAGGGGTTTCTAATGCTGTGAAGAGACACCATGACCATGGGCAACTCTTACAAAGGAAGGCATTTAATTGTGTGGCTTAAAGTTCAGAGGCTCAATCTGTTATCATGGTGGGATATTGCACGGTGCAAGCAGACATTGCAGGGGAGAGATAGCTAAGAGTTCTACATCTTGCTCAGGCAACAGGAAAAGGTCTGTCTCACTAGGTCTGGCTTGAGCACATATGAGCCAAAAGCCAAAGCCAAAGCCCACCTCCACAGTGACATACATTCTCCAACAAGACCATATCTACTCCAAGAGGGCCACACCTCCTAATAGTGCCTCTCCATTTGGGGGCCATTTTCTATCAAATTGCCACAGTGAGCCAGACATTTCGTACACTCAGAATTGCATTGGAGGCACCACGTGGGCCGGGAGACAGAGCAGCTCCAGCTAAGAGGAAACAAATAGAAGAAAGTTCTCACTTCCCATGGAAGTTCTGGGACTCAGCCATGATCAAAAGGTTCTCACTTCACCTCTATCTTGAGATATCCCTATTCTTACCTGCTGCTTTGTCAATGGGCTGCAGGCAGGCTTCATCAGGGAGTGCTGTCATGACCTGGGCTCAGTATGGGAGCCAGGCAAGTACGCACACTGCTTTATTCCACTAGTGCGAAGAGTTAAGTAGTCCAGTAGTCCAGATTATGCATGCTATCTGGAGTGGGAAGGTCTCTTAGAGGCTACACTGAGGATCATTCCCTTCCAGAAAGGCTTGTCTCACTCACACTCACTCTCCTGAGACTGATCTGTGTGTGTGAAGCACTGAGGTCATGCCCTGTGGGCAGATCCAAAGGTTCGAGTCAACGGGGCTTTCAGTTCAAGTGTTCAGACAGACTCAGCCGCGTGATTACACAGTGGTCTAATACTGTGCAAGACATGGCACAGTTAGGCTGTGCATGCTCGGACAGCCATGTGAGCCCCGGGGATCTGAGCCAAGTCCACCAGAGCTCGGCAGCCTTTCTTCTCCTTAACACCATCTGCACAGCTCTGAGGTTGCTGCTCCTCTTGCAGGCCTGCTGGGGATTTACTGTAATAGGACAAGCTTAGGCTCACCTGGCCACTGTTGCGGGGACACATTGGCTGTGTTGTTTCATACTGCAGTGGGAAGGAAATGCGGGGGCCACCTGCGGTGGTGTTCCCCTGGGAAAGCAGGAGCATGCTAAAGTGGGGAGGAACCAACTGGAGGATGGTACAGCTACCTCAGGAGCCTCAGGAGATGTTGAGGAGAAGGCCCCTCTGAAGAGTCAGCCGGTGGAAAGGGGTGCCATGTGTATTAAGAACATGTAGCTCTAGTACACACGGGAGTCATATCATGTGAGTTCTAGCGTGTGCTATTCACACGCATTACGGCGTGTTCTCTATCCTGTGTTCTTGGGTGTATATGTGTGTATGATGTGTTTGTCTGTGCATGTAAATCAGATGAAGGACTGAGAGTTACAGAGCTATGTGAAATTAAAGCAGGACTCAAATGCATCCTGCATCCTGAGACAGCCACACTTGGGGTTCCTGAGCCAAATAAAGCACACTGGCCACCATCGACATTTGTCTCCCTCTGCTTCTTGACTGTGGGTGTAATATGAGAAAACTGCCCCACACTGGTGCCGCTATGACGGCCCACACCCTCCAACTCCAAATCTGAACAAACTCTCCCTTGCTTGCCTCGCTTTTGTTGGGTATTTTGTGACAACACTGAGGAAAATGACCATCGTTTAGGTCCCTAACTTTCAGTGAGATTTCAAGTAAATAATGAGATGTCCGAAATCTGGCCCCAATACTAAGAGGGTGTGTGAAGGGCTGTCCTTGATGGCAGATATGATGTCCGGTGTGTAATCAGAGTTCTCACTTGGTCTAATTAATAAACCTAGTGTCAGACAGAGAGGAAAATGCTGAGAGATCAGAGAGAATAAGGAGCAAGCTGCAGCAACACCTGGCCTCCTTAGCGTCTCAGCAGACAAGAGAGACAGTTCCTGTTTCTACACACCTATATTTTTTCAGACATTTCACTTCCTGTCTGTACAGACCTCCAGATCTCTATGGTTAGCTAGTGGCTGTTGCTGGAGCTTCCCGTAGCCATTTAGCCCCAAATAAACACACAGACACTATATTAATTATTAAACTGTTGGCTGGTGGCTTGGGCTTCTTATTGACTAGCTCTGTCTTAATTATTAACCCATAACTACTAATCTATGTATTTCCATGTTGTCTTGGCTTACCAGAGAATGCCTGGACCTGTTACTCCTTTGGCGGCCTACAAGGCGACAGTTTATGGCGGGTTCTCTACCTACCTTTCCCAGAATTCTCCTAGTCTCCTAGTCCTGCCTATCTTCCTGCCTTATTGGCCAACAGTGTTTTATTCATCAACAAATAAGAGAAATATATATACAGAAAGAAGTCCCCCATCAAGTGCCAAGCTCCTTCTCTAACCTTCAGACAGGCTTTATTTGTACAAACAAGACAGCACCACAGTGGTGGGTACTGTCTTCCATATGACTTCAGCTGGACTGGAAGTAAGAGACAATAACAGATACCAGGAAAGGAATGTGTGAGACACTGCACAAACTGACTCTCCCACTTTGTGAAGTCAAAGTGTACATAGAGGGCAGTGGTCTAGGGCAGTGCTGGATTCCTGCAACTTCCCTGGGTAGCTTCTCCTTTGCATGGGGTTAGTTAACTGGTGTGATGGTCTTTGACGAGGGATTTAATTTCTTTAGCCTTTGTTTCTACTTCCTTAAAACAAAGTTAGACAGAGTGTGGTGACACACACCTTTAATCCCAGGACTTAAGAGGCAGAGGCAGAATCTCCTAGTCTGAGGGCAGCCTGGTCTATATAGAGAGTTCCGTGTTAGCCAGGACTACATAGTGAGACTCTGTCTCAAAAATAAAAGAAAACAGGATTGAGTAGCCAGACATGGTGATTCTTACTTGTAGTTGCAGCTCTTCACGAGGCTGAGGAAGAGGCATTGCTTGAGGCTAGGATCAGGGACAGATTGGGCAGCATAGCAAAACCTCTTTGCAGAACAAATTACTAACTAAAACAGTTGGTAACAGTGCTGTAAACATGCTGTGAGACACGTGTGTGACAGCTGAGTTCAGTGACAGCACAGAGAGCCTTCCAGAAGTTTCTGCTGTTCTTAACATTTCTGATCCTAAAGTTACTTTTGTCATCCTCTGATTTTTATTAAAAAAAAAAAAACCTATGAGTGCATAAGTGCTTTGTCCACATGTGTGTAAGTACTCTGTGTGTATGCCTGGCACTCACAGGGGTCAGAAGATGACATGGGATTCCCCGGAACTTGGATTAAGGTGGCTGGCTGCAAGCCACAGTATGGGTGCTGGGAACCATCAAGGCCTCTTTTCAGCCTGCTAGTCTCTGTTTTAACAGCATCACGTTACTCTGTGGCCTCTTGGTCACATGATGTTTTCGTTGGCGTTTACTGTTCATTCAGACTCTTATTTGGGTGCTGTGAGGCTGTGTGGGAGTCCATGAGCTTTGTGTATATGGGGGTCCACATGTTTTATTTGTGAGTCTATGTTCAATGCGGAATTGGGGTGCCCATGTGGGATTTACATGGTAGTCCACATACTACGTTGCAGGTGATGACATCCATGTACTGTGCTTGCATGGAAGCCCGCCTGGCTTGGGTGGGACTTCTCAAGCTGTGCTTGTGTGCAAGATCATGAGCTGTGCTCAGCATGCTTAGTGCCACTGGGAAGGGCTTTTTTTTGTGGCAGCATGATTATCAACACTCTGGAGTCCTCCTGTTTTGGTTATTTGGTAGATATCAGGAAGCAGTCCCTCTTAGAATGGTTGAATAGCAGCATTAAGAGATTTCAAAGCATGCTGCTTTCCTTCAGACCCAAAACACATTAGAGATAGACCTCATCTTTATCTCTGAAATCTTTACTGCTTATTGTGTGTTTGTTGGGGGGTGGGGAGTGGGGTGGTGGTTCTCAAGGCTCTCCCATCCGTGAGCCCAGCTAACAGCAAGTGTCAGTGACTGCTGTCCTCCAGGTGATCAGGGTGGCAGCTGCCACATAGAGACAGCCAGAATTGCTCTGTTGAGTCCTCCCATTGATTTTCCAGATTAACTCCAGCAGTTTCCGAAGGAAGTTCTGACCACAAAATGACAGATGATGGCTGTGTATTTTAAAATATAGCAGAGATAAGTGCCTGCTCATTTGAGCACGATCTGCACAGTATGGCTGAATGGAGAGTGCCCTGCCTGCAGCTCTGACAGTGACGGGGAGGCAGGAAAGGGACAGCTTGCCTTCACTTGTGGTTAGTGTGGTTGGGGTGTCTGTCTGACTGTGGAGGAAAAGGGCTTAGAGAGGGATTTGATTCAGTGAATTTCATCTTCAAGGCCCTGCTAACTAGCTTTGCTATGGATTATAGCAGCCATTTTCCCTATCCAGGGCTGAGAAGGTCATGGGGCTAGGGCCCATGACACAGCCAGCCTGCCCTTCAACTTCGCACTCTTTGGCAGTAAATAATCTGGAAATGAAATTAGTGTAAGTAGGTCCAACCCAAATTGTAAAGTCAAAGCCAAGTCACCATGGAACTTTGCAGTTAAAAATCTTAAAAAGAAATGGCCCTTACTCTCTACAGGTTTGAGGTCTGGGTTGACACACTGACCTGGGAGACCCTTGGAGTGACCATCCAAAGGCTTCCATCAATGTGCAGGTGAATTTTAGGTAAAGGAGTGGTGGTGGTAGGGCCATGGTTTGTGACTACTAGATGAGTATAGGTGATAATTACAAGCAAAGGGGATCTGGGAAGGTGGGACAGGGAGAGTGTGCTAGCTAGTTCTATGTCACCCTGAAACATGTTAGAGTTGCTTGGGAAGCAGGAACCACAACTGAGAAAGTTTTCCTGTCAGGTTGCCATGAGGGCAGGCTTCTAGTCCATTTTCTTGTTTGGTGATTGATGTGTGAGGGCCAGGCTCATCGTTGGTGGTGCTATTCCGGTGATGGTATTCTATACCAGTGTGCTATAAAAAAGCAGACTGAGCAAGCCAGTAAGCTATTTTCTTCTTGGGTCTCAGCATCAGCTTCTGCCTCCAGGTTCCTGCCCTGACTCTCCCTAGTGATGACGGTTATGTGGAAGTATAAATGAAATAAACCCTTTTCTCCCCAAGTTGCTTCTGGTCATGGTGTTTTATTATGAAACCCAACTAAGATAGAGACTGGTACCAGGAGTGGGGTAAACTTTCTCAGTTGAAGTTCCTGCTTCCCCAGCAACTCTAGCCACCCCTCCCCCGCCCCCATCTCCATAGAGCAGCCTCCACTCAGAAGTCCTGTGTAGTAGGCCACTTATCTGGACTCACTGATGACCCACAGCATCCCACCTTCATCCCCAAGTGATCTGACATCCGACTTCCTCCTTACCACTCTTGTCTCTGATTATTTTCCCTGCTGCTTCCTGAAGGCTCCCTGGTCTCCCCCCCCCCCCCCGCCCCCCCACCCCTCCCACATCATCAACAACTGTCCCTCAGCTAACTCTCCATGATTACCCGGCTACCAGTCTGCAGTCTCATAGGTTACAGTCTACTCAGCACAAGGCTAGACCTCCCCGTGGCTCCTCCACCTCCATATCCTTGGACAATCAGGTGATTACTCTGAGTGGCCTTGAGATCCTGCAAACCCCAGATCTCACCTCTTGGCTGCCATGGTCACCTGTACACAGCCTCCACGTGCATCGCAGGCTCCACGCTGTCCTTAAAGAATCCCACATGACACTCATCTTGCCCGTCTCATCCTGGCAGGCCCATGCTTGCCCCCGCCTCACCCTGATTTACCTTCCTTGTCACCTGACCTCTGTTCCTGCCCTTCTCGCTGTCTGAATTAAGACATCCCTGAAGCGTCACTAACAGGATTTCACAGACAGCTGTGAACTGTGAAATGAATTCTGGTGCTCAAGGTTGGTTCTAAGAACCTACAGGCCCACTGGGTCCTTGCTTTTCTGCTTCACAATCAAGCTGTTCTCCCTGTGGCCTGCTGGGGAGCCCACAGCCCCAGCAACCCCCCCCACCCCGGGGGTGGCCAATTTCACTGCAGGAACCCCTACCTACCATTTAAGCCCGCCCACTTGGCATGCCCGTGACTGGTGTGTGTCTGTGTAGTGTTTAAATACCCTCTCCCTGGCATTCTAACTCACTTTAGAAATGAATCTGTAAAAAATGGCCGTTTCCTTTGTTCGCTTGACGCCACCCAGCAATCTGATTTTCGGCCTCTGCTCCTCGTTCACTCTCCTCTGTCTCCTTTCTGTCCCCCCCTCAAACCTCTTTATTATATTTTTATTGAAGGCTGAGATGAGCCTGTGGCAGCATCACAGGCTCATTACACTTCCTAACAATTCCATTTGCACCGTATTGTCTGTCTGATTGCTGGAAAATCAGGTGATTCATCACGCCTGAGGAGTCACATGATTCCCCGGGGCAGAAGTCCCCGAGCAAGCCTTGGTAGAGAACATCAGGCACCTAAGCTGGGCTTGCATCAGAGAGCACCCTCAAAGGAAGGAGTGTGTGTTGGGAAGCAGTGGCCCAAGTGTGGTGTGCAAGTAGGAGAGCAGTCCACCACCCCTTCAGCTGGGGCTTGCCTGTGAGCAAAGATTCTCAGGGAAAGTGAACATTGGAGAATGGGCTACAGTGGGCAGCAGTGTCCCCTCCTCTTGAGAATCGGATGTCTGCCTGGGAGCAACTGCCACTTTGGAGGGTAGCTCCTGCTTGTGCAACAGACAGAGGGGAGGATAGTAGCCCCAAGCAGGACATGTGTCAAGGAGCAGTCCATCTCCCAGCACGGGGCATGCGTCCAGTACCAGAAGCCCCCAAGTGAGCCAAGTGTTAACCGCCCCCAAAGCTGGGACACTTAGGGAAACAGCAGACCCCCCTAGAATAGGAGGTGTGCTAAGGTGTAAACCTTCCCAGAGCATGGGCTCAGTCAGAGCACCCATCAGGAGGGAGTAGCACCTTTCCCCGGAGTACCCATGGGGAGCAGTAGTCCCCACCCCAAAGCAGGAAGTACAGCAGGGCCTTGGGTCAGGGCACCGAGTCCCCAGGACTGACAGAGGTTGATGACAAAAGCCATCCAAAAGCCAAGGGTCTCCCCCCAAGACTTGCCGCTCTGCTTTAGTGATGGTATTCCTCTTCCCGCCTCCAGCCCCCTGAGTCCAGAGAAGGGGAAGCAGCTGATGGATGAAGTTGCCCACATCCTCGGGGTGCCTTCCGGCTTCTTTGCAGATGTCAGGTAAGTGCTGGACTCCGAGCCTGCTGTCCTGTGCTTGCCGCTCATGGTGCCAGGCTCACAAATTGGTTTGTGATGAAAAGAGCCTCATGCCTGGGGCTCATTTTAATGATATCATAGAATAGCTGTTTAGAACAAGAATGAAAGGAGAATTCCTCTGGGCTTTGGGAAGTTATTTAAATACAGCTGAAACCTACATTTAATTACAAAGTGCCGACTCTCCCCAGCAATGGTGTGGTGGAGGCCAGCTTCCTGGGGCCACTGCACCTGGCATCACTTTGATTCTGGAGCAGCCAGAACAGGTTCCAGGCTCCAGGGAAGAGACCCTAGAGTTGCCACACTGGCCTCAGTGTCTCTGTGGACAAGGGCCCAGGACACTGCCCTGAGAGCCTGTGCACTGGACTTTCAGACACAGCCCAGCCAAGATCCTTGTCCCATCATTGAGAGCCAATGCATGTCTGCAAAGTGTGTGGGTGCTGGAGAAGGTGCTGCGTGTGAAGGAATGCTAGCTATGCTGGTACTGGTATTGGGCAGGTATTGCGAGATGATCCGTAGTCCGTAAGGCTAAGATTTCTTTATTCAGATAAACACCAGCTCAAACGCAAGCCAGAGCGTGCCCAGAGGCCATAAGCTAGCGTGGCCAGAGAGAAGGACCCTCCACATGTGCACTGTCTCTTAAGAATTGTCCCCACATCATCTTTGACCTCCCCTGACCACGCCCTCATGGGCGTGGCCAGGCACACCTGTAGGAGGTGGGGCTACAGTGTCCCTACAGGCAGGGTCCTGGCCGAGTCCCTGTTCATGTGTGCCCTGGAGAGGTACACCTGCTCACATGACACAGTCTGTGATCCTCTCTGGTTGCTGCCTACAAGGGATGCATCGTAGTTTCTACTCTGATGTGGTTTGTCCTAGGAGTTAGTGCACGCCATGTATCCACACTGTCCTCGCCTCAGATCTGACTGCTTACTGTAGATTGTAAGGGACATCCAAGAGGAGGTCCCCAACTAACCTGATATCAGAAAATTCCATAAAGATTCCCAAGAAGAGGCTTCACTCGTGTTATGGGATGTTCATCGCATTGGCATGTACGTACTTGAGCACTCACCCAACATAAAGGAAATGTCTACAGATGGGCCAGGAGCTTTCACACTCAGGCCTTGCTGGGTGAGGACAGTGCAGCAGAGAGGGGGGTGGGGGAAACAACCACCAATGGTTCCATACACACGGTGACAGGGTTGGAGAGATGACAGGGAGTCCAGGTAAAAGAAGGGGATAGCACCACACAGACCAAGTCGGAGGAAGTAGGAAACCCCGGGCAGACCTGGCATGCTCACAGGTCCCAATGTGAGTGCCAGCATGCGTGTTGTTTCTAGCTATTTAGCTGAGCTATTCTGAGTGAATTCTTTGTGAATACCACAATCCTGCAAATATCTAGGTCTCCTCCCTTCTCAGAACTTCAGGGGAGCCACCAAGGACTCCCCACCAAGGAGGATCCAACTCTGGTTGGAGTTTGAGGAGTGTGTGTGTGGGGGGGCTGTCCTGGAGGGTAATCTTCTTTTGTTCCCCGGGGATACTCTCAGCCACTGGTTCTCTTGGTCCCAGGCACATGAAGGACATGTTCCCAACTCAATGGCTATTGTATGCTAATGCTTGTGTGACAGATGATTCAAAGAGTGGTGCAAACCCCACGCTCAGTCCTTCACTCTAAACCAGATAGACACGAGGCAAGGGCACTTTGCAGCCCTGCAGGCCTCATCAGACTCAGCCACAGCCATTTTTTGCAGAGGCAGGATAAGAGAATGGGTGTGTGCCTTGGTTGCTTTGTGGTTGAAAGTGGTCATGTTGTAGGAGAAACTGGGGCAGATATCAAGAAGAGCCAACATCACTGGAGCACAGTAGAGTGGGCCAGCCTCGGTGGGAGGCAGTTGTAGCCCACCTCGTGCATATCATCGGGGAAGAAGAAATCAGAACACAGATTTTGTGCTGCCCCCCTCACCCCGCCCCCTATCCCATAGAGTTTCCTCTGGTACAAAGCTTACCCTGGTGTGTAGGGTAACTAAAATTCACATTCTCCTTGACAGAAACCCTTCTTAGTGGTTGAGTGGCAGGTGGCAGTTGGCAGGTGTGTCAAAGTGAATTTGAGTTTTGAAGAGGTATGCTGTCCCCACTGCCATTGCTTGCCCCCTTTGCCTGCTGATACAAGGAGCGGGTTGGTAGAGCTGTTCCACAGCCTGCACACCTGCTCCTGAGGCACTGTCACGTGGGATGTGGAGCCTGGAAGTGGAACCGTATTCTTCTCAGGGAAAGATGACAGAGGGAAATGTGGACGGAGGGCTCTGTGGCCACTATACAAGCAATTCCTGAGAGCCTGTCCATGCACAATGCTGCCCAGGCAAGTCTTACACACCTTTCTCTTCCCCGACTGGTTCTAGCATATCTTATAAACCTGAGGAGTCGGCACCTGCCACAAGGAAGGGATGTGGTGATCATAGTTGTATAGCAGGTGGTAGACACCGTTCCTCTCCAGGCCAGGCCTCCTGAGCCACCCACTGTAGTCCTGAGGCAGGGGAAAGGGCACTTTTCAAGTCTCTGTAGCTCCACTTTAGGAGCTGCTAAGGCAAGGTAAGAGGTTTCCTTTGGGGAGAGCCTAACGTGGCTATCCAGGCTGGAGAGCAGTTTTCCTGACCCAGGAGCTCAGTGCCTTTCTCCTTCTGCCAGTATCTGACCTCCTTTCCTCTCTTGTCTTGCACAGGGCAACCCTTATTTGTGTTGTTGCTCCCCCAACATTAAGTGAGCTGAACTGAGTCCTTCCCTGCTACCCAGGTCAACAGATCCACAGTCACTGTAAACCTGACTGTACGGACAGTCACCTCAGAGATACACCCCTGGGTGTGCCTGTGAGGATGTTTCCAGAGAGGTTAATGGAGATGGGAAGAAAGATATTACACCCTGAATGATGGCAGCATCATCCCAGGGCCCAGGATCCCACGCTGATTAAAAGTGAGCGGGTTGCTAGCACCCATTTCATTCTGCCTTCTGACTGTGGGCACAACTGACCGTCTGCTGCTAACTCCTTCTACTGTGCCTTCCCCACCATGGTGGGCTACATCCTCAAGCTGCAAGCCAACATAAACCCATTCTTTGTCAAGTATGTTACTTATAGCAATGAAAACAGTAATCAATATACCTGCTAACTTTGGAAGAGAGGGCCACCATCCATTGGTCCAGGCATTGGGAAGAGGCACCAGGACCAAGGGAGGCTGGCATCATGGGAGGCCCAACACAATGCTGGAGGACCCTCTACCCCAAGCTCCATACTCCAACTCCTGATCCCTATCTAGGCTTCTTTGCTTCATTGCTACCTCCCTATTTACCATAGACCCTTCCTGTGCTCCCAACACAGGGATGGCCCGACCTCTCTGAGGAGAAGGCCTGAGCTTCCCTGGCATGCATCTTTGTGAATTTTCCTAGACAGTCCACCTTCCTGCTCAGAAAACATGCAGTCCTTCTTTATAGAGTAGGATTATCACACAACCTTCCCAACAAAGGCAGAACACTGGGATTCAGGCCACCCTCCGTGGTCAATGCTGTCTTTTCCTCCTATTCAAAGTTCTAGTCCAAGGTCTAACCTAAATGTTGCTCCCAGCTGGTTCCAAAGTCTTCCCCAGAACCCCCAGGCATGCCCAGCAGAGTCTGCGCCACCCACCCAGTCACTGCATCTCCGAGTGTGTGCTGACTGTGTGCACGGTGGCATTAGCAGCTCTTCTCTTTTAAATGCAGGAGCTGTATCTGGCTCGGCAGAGAAGGACAGGCCTTCCACGGGCTGACACAGACATTGACTAGACCTCAGGAGTGTCTCAGGAGTGTGGGCTCATAGCTAGCATGACCTGGCTTGGTCATCTTCATCTAAGTGCTTCATCTAAGAGCTCATCCTCAGAACCACTCATTGTCTCAGGGGTAGAAAACACGGGCCACGTGGGCTGGCACTTGCCGATATCATCTGCATTTTTATGGAAGCACTAGTTAGGCTTAATATGTTTTGTTAATGGTTATGTAGCTGTCAAATAAATCCCATTATTTCTTATTACATCATTAGAGACCATTAAAACGACATTAGCATGCTGATGTAATTACGCCAGCAGACACACAGCGACCACAGTTATGATTTTATAACTAATCATGGCTGTCCTGGGCTGGCTGATGAATGCTGCTTTCCTATGCAGCATCTACTCAGGTGGGAAGAATGGGATGAGGAGAAGGTGTTGCTGAGAGCTTGGAGCCCATCCAGTTCTCTCCAGATGAACCACAGAGCTGAGATAGGCTGCACAGAGCCCTGGGTCTGCCCAGGCGTCGCAGGCCACTGAAAGCTCTAGGCTGCGATTAAGACTTACGGATCTCATCTTTGAAGACACAATTCTGTTCCTCACTGGTGCGGTTGTTCGGGGCAGTGACCGAGGTACAGCCATGAGCAGGCTCACCTGACACTTTATCAGGATCTCCTGGGCAGACACCAGCACTCCATATGGACCTCATACCCCTTCTCTCTTGGTCTGTGCCCTCTAAGTAGGAGGCAGTCTATGAAGTTTGCAGACTTTCAGAGATTGTACATAACTTTATTTACTATTTGACCCCTAGCCTTGTCCCCTTGTCTCAAAAGTGTGTGACAATAAAGAGGTGTCTAGGACAGATAGAGGTGAGAACTACCTCACCTCCATGGGTTATGCCCTAGTTTGCTTCTGTGGCCCAAGGTAAATGAACATCAGGGATTCTGCCTGGAGTTGATCTACAAACGGTGCCTTCAGCATGAGGATCCAGAAACTGGAGGAACACCTCAGTAAATATGTATCACTCACAACTCGGGTGCCTAAAGCCTGCTCACACTGCTCCCGAAACAACACAACTTGTCCGTAGTCCTCAGCCATGTCACTGGTCAGAGTGCAGGCTCTATCCTCAGTGCTCACCTGGACAAGGAGATGATCACAAAGGGCTGATCTTGGGGCCAG